TATTATTTTTATTAAATGCACAAAAAAGTAATGGATGATGAAGGTAACAGCATGTTTTGAGGAAATCTGCACTACTGATGGCACAGGAGGTGATAGGAAATGCCGTACTTGTGAGCCCAAATGCACATAAATGTTGGATTGGCTCCCCGATAAGTAAGTTTAAAACTACAAGATTAAAGTTGCAACAAGAAGCAATTGCACTATTTAAACTCATTCGGGAGAAATAACCAGCCATGGCTGTTGTAAACTTTCAAGTTCCTAATCCCTACTTTCTCCTACTGAAATAAGTTTTAGAGCATGAGTTTTGAGGACTCCCAAGGTGCGCAAATGTCAAGAAGGGCCCGAAAACAAATTGCCTGGGTTTTGCTGAACTTCGATACAGATGATGTCGGGATATTCTGTTCTGATACTACGGAGAAAGTTATTAAAAAGCGCAGCACTTTGTACTTTTAAAAAGAAGGAAAAAAAAGGAAGTATCATGTCTTTAGTTGTTTGTCCTGTTCATCAAATCTTAGCATATTAACTCCTAGAGCGACAGAATTCGAACCAGGAACTGTATTCTCAACAGGGTGTATTTCCCCGTCACTGCCCCCAGCTCCACTCCCCACGCTCCCGTGACTCTACCGTAGGAAGAGCTGAAAACTGGAAGAAGGAGAGGCGTTGGTGTGAACCAGTCTGGGGTCGGATGAAAATCACTGTTTTCCAAAGTGCTCAATAACTTGACTTCATTTCTAGCCCAGATGAAAGCTCTGGAAGAGGTTAAGAGTTTCCTTGGCACCGCCCAAGTCAAACCCACGGAAAGATTGCTTTTGTTTCTCCCCGGAGCCACTGCAGCTTTTTGGATAATCGTGGGGCTGCTGCGGCTCTCAAGGTCACGGGTGGGGGAGGGGCGCTGCCCGCCTCAGCGCCGCTTCGGGTCTTCCGGAGGTCGCGCAGGGAAGCTAAACCGCCCCGGTGCTGTGCCCGAGGGGTCTCAAGCAAAAGTTGCGCGGCCCGGAGGCCAAGGGCTTTACCTCCCGGAGGTGGCTGAGGAACCCGGGCCGGAGCGCCTCCTCTTTGGACCGTCGAGTGACAAGCGGGGGCTGCAGCCAGCGGCCGCCCCGGAGCGCGGCGAGGACGGGTGGCGCGCGGTCTCCATGGGGACGGGCAGCCACCACCCCCCCACCCCAACCGCGCTCCTCGGAGTCCCCGCCCCGCGCGCCTGGCCGCAGCCCGCAGGTGTCCGCGGGGCGGGCGGTGCTGGCCCCGCGTGGGCCACCGAGGCCTGTCCACGGCCGCTGCGGGATTCCGGCCAGTCTGGGGCCCCGGCTCCTCCGCCGTCCCCCGGGGCGGGGGGGGGGGGCTGAGGTGGGACCCCCGAAGGCTTAGAGGGAGGGGCAGACGCCAGGCTGCGGGACCCCAACCAGGAGGAGATGGGACACTGACGCCAGCGTTAGCTTGGTCGCAAAGAAAGCCAGCAGTTTTAAGGCCGTGTGATGGGAAAGGTGGGGTTGATCTTCAGCAAATCCTCGGAATATTTTAATACTTCTTGTCAAGTTTAGCGTTATACAGGAGGTACCAAAACCAAAGCAAACACGTTTAAGGGATCTGGAAGTAACACTAAATATAAATGGTTTGCTCTGGTGTTTTGTTTTGTTTTTTTTACCATCGGTAATTAAAATTTGTCTACAAGGAATATACAGCATATAGTAAATTTGATTCTCATACAGTTTTATTCTAATCCAGGCATCTCAGCTTTTTCCTGTTGCCTTTAACATATGTTTAAATTGTGTGTACCAATTAGAGAAGCTAAAATTTTATTACCTGAGACCCACATGGGGTCCCTTGACACAAAGGACGAATGAACCAGATGAATAAACAAGATCAATCTGATGCACTGTCAGTGACCCCACAGGAAACAGCTTGTGCTTCACTCTATCTCAGGACCCATCCAAGAAAAACATGTCACGCGGCAAAATTTCCTTTTTTCTTTGTCAGACCCTAAAACGCTATTTCCCCACCCTGGAATCCCTAGTCTCTCAACCCAACTGAAAAGTTTGGAAGACTGTATTTAATATTCTGCTCATTTCCTCATTTTTAAAACGAGTATCAAAAAAGAGCAATCAGATAAGTTGATCAAAAATCTTTGAGCTCAGAATGGCAAAAATTACTAAGATTGAGATTTGTTTGTATCATTCAGTGGGTTTCACTCACGCATCCCCAATTAGGTGCTTGTTTCTCTGTCCTGGAAACGAGGAAGAAGCAGGGGCGTCTTTTAAAATGTGAAGGCGACTGAGCTATGATTGAATAAACAAAATGTGGCTATCCGCACAACGGAATGTGATCTGGTCATGAAAATGAACGCACTAGTGATCCATGCCACAACATGGATGAACCCTAAAACCTAGAAAATATTATGCTAAGAGAAGCCAGTCATGAAAGACCATGTAGGATTCCGTTTATACAAGATGTTCAGAGTAGGCAAGTTCGTAGGAAGTAGATTAGTGGTTGCCAATGGCAGGGGGGTTGGGAAATGGGAAGTGAGCTGCCAAGGGGTTTCTCTGGAAATGAAAATGCTCTACAATTAGAGTGTGCTGACAGGTGCACAACCGTGACCCCCGCTAAAAACCACTGAGTTGTACACTTGACAAGGGTCAGTTTTATGTAGGAGTTATATCAATAAAGCTGTGTAAAATGAGCAGTAAACTGAATGTTTGCTCTACATTATTGGGTGTCAGCAGCTGTGATAAGCATCCTACACACACTTTTTCACTTTCTCCTCATGACCCCTATGAGTTGGTTAGTAATCTCATTTTCCAGGTTAAAAACAAAAGTTAAACCCAAAGAAACTAAGTAAATGTGCGTGAATACAAAGCTAAGGGGAAGAATGGGTATTCAGCCCAAGGTCTAACTTTAAAGCCCGTGCTCTTTTCACGACTGACACCAATACTGAAATGTCCACAAGGTGCAAAATCTGGAAGAGAATTACATAACCTTGAAGTTATTTATTATTTTTAAAAAAATTTTAATGTTTATTTCTAAGAGACAGAATCAGAGCACGAGCAGGGGAGGGGCAGAGAGAGAGGGAGACACAGAATCCGAAGCAGGCTCCAGGCGCTGAGCTGTCAGCACTGAGCCCGACACAGGGCTCGAACACATGAACTGTGAGATGGTGACCTGAGCCGAAGTCGGATGCTTAACCGACTGAGCCACCCAGGCGCCTCGAATTTTATAAATGCAGTTTACTTTTGAGGATTGAACTCTTGTATTCCCAGACTGGAGACTACAGGTTTCTTCAAAATAAGGCAATAACGACTAATTTAAACAATCACTTTATTAAAAATAGCAAATTTCACAAGTACTCATTTAACATTTTGTTGGCACTGGCCCCTGGAAAACAAACCCGTGTGTGTACTGATTGTCTAATGTAAACTGAAGCGGGGCTGCCCCCAAAAGCCTGTGCATCATCAACTTCGAATCAACACGGGAATGAGTAAGTCTGGTGAGCTCAGAAAGGATGAACCTTCAGCCCTATTAATAACATTTTGCACAAAGCGCTTCAAGTATAACCCCCATAAGGCAACAACAGAAAGCATAGCAGCACAGCCTCGGCATCACAGTTCCTGATTAAGCCTTCAACCAGGCCTAGGCTCCAGTTATGGCGAACGACAGCAAGGCAACTTTACTAAAAGCAGCAGTGAGAACAATCATTGCACTGGTACTTTGATTACTTTATTCCTTGTTGTGGAAGATGATTCTGCTACTGGGTTCAGCTGCAAAATTAAAGAATGCTGTTTTTCTTCAAACCGCAACAAAGCAACTGCATGTCCTTTTAGCTGGTGGACGTATTCGGGACGTCTTGTGCGTCCGCCAGATGTAGTTTTTGTCTGAATTCATCAGTTAAGATTTTCATTTTATAATGAGTACTTCTTTTAAATTTCGGGGAATTAAAAAAAATAAATTTCAGGGAATTACACTCAGGAGCTAAGGGAGAGAGGTATTGAAATAAAGGAAATATGTTTAAAGGGAAGTGTCTGTGTCACTGTGAGAAACCTGGATGTGGTAAGACAATTTTTAAACGTAGTTAAGTAATTATACTAGATCCAGAATTTGAAGACTTAAAAAAAGGCACTAAATCAAGACTATGTTTCAGATTCTAATACAGCACAGGATTATTTTCATGGTAAGGAACCGATGAGAGGCAAATATGAAAACTTACTGGATTAAACAAAAATCATTGGAGAGAACAACACCACTTTATCATCCTTGGGAAAACAATTTCTTTGTAAAAGTCAAAAATCAAATCATCATAGCTCTAAAACTTTCCCTATAATCCTGAATTATTCTTCAAGATTAGAATTAGTGTGGAATTCTTGCAGAGGTTACCCCCCTCCCTTCTTATCATCATTGGCTTTCATCTTGTTCTTTCATCCATCCATATGATCCACCTGCTACCTATCTCTTCAAGACCCAATTCCAACAATGCTGTGAATACGCTGAGAACAACTAAATGCTAGCAATACGCGTATGGCAGAGGTTGCAAAAATACACAGACATGAGTGCTGTCATCAAAGCCATTGCCATCCAGTTGGAGGGCTGAAATTTAACACATATAAAAATCAAAAGATAGTGAAATAAGGCAGAATGCTAGTTGGAGGTATAAATAAAATGCTTTATGAGAGTGGTCAGCTTCGGTGTTACTTGATGGGGGAAAAGGGGGAGGCCAGAGCAGTGGTAGGTAGAAAGCACAACCTGAACAGAGGCATTACGGTGAGCATGAACATGATGTGTTCTTAGACACCCAGAGAACCAGCTTAGTGGGAATGAAAAATATAACAGGATGCATAGGCTGTGATTATATTATTGAGAGCTGTTAAAAAGTCTAACATGGTAAAAAACGTGGTCTGAAATAGGAATGGCAAGAGGAGAGTGATGTTTTTAAGAAGACTAATTTATTTAGTGTCATTGTCTAAAGTTTACGGCAGCACTGTCCAAAAGAAATATAATGCAGGCCACAGGTATAATTTTTAAAATATATTTTATTCACACTAATATATAAAAAAGCTGTCATTTCAGCATGCAATCATAAAAAATCTTGAGACATTTTACATTATTTTTTTATACTAAATCTTTGAAATCAGGTGTACAAATTATACTTTTAGCACATTTCAATTCATATTAGTCACGTTTTGTGTGCTCAGTAGCTACGTGGCTAGTGGCTGCCATATTGGACAGTGCATCTCCAGAGCTGGAACAGAAATCTGAAAGGTTATGGAATAAAGGGATGAGGATAGGGGATGAAGGAGGAATAAAAGGCAGAACCGACGATGCCTGACAACTAAATGTAATCAAGAAGTGGCAAATCATTCCATGTCCATGTCCCGGCTCAATGGCAGATAGTTCCACGACCAAGTAGCAATGTCTGGTCTAATCATAGAAGGGATTTAAATAACCTTTGGAGACTGAAAATAACAGAGGCTACCGATGACAGAGAAGGAAATTAGGAGGAAAGTATGAATATAGAGAGAACATTTATTGCAAATGAGGAAACTATATTTGCCTTAAAGCTACACACTTGCTTCCCAAGATCTGAAACCAAACAACCTAGAGCCCATGCTCTTGTGTTCCGTCATGTTGCCTTGTTTAACTGTGGTGGTTGAATCAGGCAAAGTGGTGAGATAAATGAGTCTAAATGTCTAACAAAAACTCAGATAAGAGGATAGGAGATACTGACATGTCACAAGCATAGAAAGAGTACAAAGCATAGAATATGAAGCTCAAAATGAGTACAAAGAAAAGAAAAAAGCACCAGGCATTACTACTAAGAGAAGCCCCCTAATTAACTCATATCTTATCCCCATATTCAAGTCTTTCTTAGCAAGGATATGTTACATTAATGTTTCCCCACAGTTTATGTGGCTTCTCAAAAACCCATCTGTAAAATGGGAAGTATAACACCACCTACTTATAAGGGTAGGACCAAATGAGAAAATGCAGGTAAAGCCCTTCATAAAATACTTGGCAATTAGTAAGTACTCAATTAAGATTAACTATTAATCGTTATCACTGGATTTGCATATACTTATTTCTTCATTGTTACTGCATAGTTTAGCAAGTAGTAACAGTATCTGTTACAACAATAATAGTAATATATATATATATAAATATATATATATATTAGTTTAGAAAAACTAGATAATTACTCCATCATTATATGCAGCAATTATCCCATATTACAGAGGACACTCTGAAATGTTAAGCAATTTACCCAAGGTTAATTAGCAAAATTATCAGAACCAAATTTCAAAAATCAAATGTCTTGACCCTACAACCAGTATCCTTTTTGGTATCTCATTATTTAGTTCAGAAGGATGTCATACCTCTCAAATTATTTTATAGGCAGGATCATTTCTCATTGTTCTTTATCTCACGTTGTGCCTAGGACTATGTCCAAAAACACGTTTTGAAAAGTTCCTGAAATAATTGCTCCAAATTGTAATGTCAAAACCTGAATATTTTACACACGCCTTGGTGATTTCTTTTAAGCTCCTCCTATAATACACCTTGTATATGCATCTAAAGTATTCTATGTAACGACAGGAAACTAAGCATGGCATATTATGTCTGCATATCCAACTGCTATTTAACTTAAGAATCTAAGATTCGAGATAATTTCTACGGCCACTAACCCAATCCTCAATTCTCTTGGTTGATTTTTAAAAATTTGTTTTAAAAATCCAAAAACAGTACAAAGCAAAGCAGAACAAATGAGAAACAAACAAAATTGTAGCATACAAAACAACTAAAAATTCCATTTGGAAACCAAAAGAGAAGAGAAATGGCCCCAGTAAATCATCATGGGTGTCTTTGTTCATTGATTGAGGTATTCACCAGAAGTTATAATTTGTAAACTTTTCACTGTTGATATTAGGCAAAAGGATACATGGAAGAATTCAATTCTTCTAACTGTAACACAAAGAAACAAATTTAATTTCAGTTTTTATGGGAAAAATAAGTAGATAATTGTTTACACATTTTAAAGTAACCTGGTTTTCATTTAAGCTTTCTCTAAACGAAAAAATAAAATATTGAAAAAAACTTCCCAAAAATTTCCAGCTTGGGAAATTCACTTATGCAAAATAATTATAAAGTAGCTTTAGCATTTATTAAACACAAATATGAGAAGAGAATTAAACCAGATAAGCAAAACGAGAGTTCTATAAGGATTCTTAAAACCATGAACAATTATAATCATCTCTAATAGTTTTTTTAAAAAGTTGCCATTTTCATGATCAAAATCTTAAAAACCTTTGTGGATTACGAAAAGACTTCACATATCATTCAGTTTTCAGTATGTGGTAGAATTAATCACACCTGTTTTACAGAGGGAAAAATCAAAGTTACAGAAATGTCAACTACATTGACAAAGTTACACAGATATAACTGAAGTGCAAACCCCAGACTAAACAAAGCCTTTCTGGTTTCAAATTTGGTCTTCTCACTACTCCACAGTCACTTTCTTAAATGTAATGCAAATTAAGCTTCTATTTCTTAAGAGGACCCAGTAAAAGGAAATACTTGCGAGGCTAAACATAGTCTTTGTGAAATAAAACATACGAAAAAAAACATACAGGCTTGAAACTTTAAAAGTATAGGCATACAATTTCTCTCACATTTACTTACTCAAAGGATAAAGAAAAGCAACAGAATTAATCCTTTTTTGTCATTAGTAAATATGTAAACTATTCCAAAACTGAAGAACACTGAATTCAATTTTTCTTTATTTTTACTCCAAAAAAGGTTTAAAGAAGCCAATTTAATTAATACCTTTCAGTGTAAGAATCATAATAGTTACACACAGAATTACGTCCTCCCAAAAGACGTACATTTTAGTGCTAACCCCCAATACCTCAGAATGTGAGTGTATTTGGAGACAGGGTCTTACAAAGAGGTAGGAAGTTAAGACGAGGTCAATAGGGACTAGTGTCTTTAAAAGAAGGGGAAATTTGGACATAGGCACCCACTCATAAAAGGAAAATGCCATGGAAAGATGAAGGCAGTCATCTACAAGCCAAGGAGAGGGGCCTCAGAAGAAACCGACCCTGCCAACACCTTGCTCACTAACTCTGGGCCTCCAGAGCTGTGAGAAATAAATTCCAGGTGTACCCAGTCTAAGGCACTCTGTTATGGCAGCTTTAGCAAGCTAATACACAGAGCAATGCACTAAAGGATCTGAAACATACACATAGTTCTGTATATAACATTAGTAACCACCACCTACCTGAGTAAATAACACAAAACGTATTTAATCATGTCTGGACCGCCTTATACATTAAGATCGTATCATGTATGTACAGAAGTGAATCTTTCACTTCTAGATTTCCCAGCAGTCTCAAAATATATGCTTAGATATAAATGTGACAATTTCTTTGAAATATGTTTCCCTAAGAAAGAGTAGGACACGACATGTATGAAACTTGAAAATACTACACTAAGGGAAAGAACCCAGACATAAAAAGCCACATATTGTGTGATTCTCTTTATATGAAATATCCAGAATAGGCAAATCTGTACAGACCGAGAGGAGATTAGAGGCCACTAAGGGATGAAGAGGAGGGAGAATTGAGAGGTACAGGGTTTCTTTTTTGGGGTGATAAAAATGTTCCGGAATTAAACAGTGGGGATGTCTGCAAAACACTGTGAATACACTGAAAACCACTAAACGGTATACTTCAACATGACTAAAACGATGAACTTTCTTTCAATAAAAATTTTTGATTAAAGAAAGAATGAAGAAATATATACAAATCCTTTTATAAGTTTATATAAAAGAATTATAGTATATAAAAGAATTATACTCACATCAGACAGAAGCCTGTCCAGATTGGAGTCACTGGCTGTTTTTCTCTTATCCTCAGGAAGTTCCTCTAACTCCCCATAGAGCTCCAAATTCAAACGAGCTAATTTCTCCTGCATTCCCCGAACATGTTCCATCTGTTCAATGGAACATTCATTTCCTGGGGGAACATCCCAGAACATTAATAAAGATTAGGACAGTTCAAACTAACTGCCTTGAGGAAAAACTTGTAAATTCAAGGTACTCACAAGAATTTAGTTTTCGTTCTGTTGTAAATTACAGTGTTAATGACTGCCTATTTTCTGTGTATAATACACAAGTCGAATTTCTGACCAGGAAAGCAATAATCTAAGAAATGGCTGTGGGTACTAAGAAACTCGGATTGGAAAGATTTTCTTTAAAAAACCAAAATCATCAGGGCGTCTGGTCTGTGGAGCCTGCGACTCTTGGTCTTGAGGTTATGAGTATGAGCCCCACAGTGGGTGTGGAGATTGCTTGAAAATAAAATCTTTTAAAAATTTAAAACAACAAAGCAAAACAAAAACCCCAAAACCCAAATCATCCCTTAGGTAAAGAAAATTCTTTTTTCAATAGTAACATCATTTCTAGAAGCAACAGCATGATCTAATCATGTTCAATCTGACACCTGCCATTTGAACTGAGCGACCCAACGTTTTATAATGAGTGAACTTGAACGTCCTGTAAGAACTTCAACCATGAATCATTTTGCCACCAATTATTCCTTTAATAAATATAAATGAGGAACACCTGGGTGGCTCAGTCGGTTAAGCATCTGACTCTTGATTTTGGCTCAGGTCATGATCTCACAGTTGGTGAGTTCAAGCTGTGCGTCGGGTTCCACTCTGACAGTGCAGAGCCTGCTTGGGATTCTCTCTCTCCCCTTCTCTCTGTGTCCCTCCCTCCCCCCATCAAAAATAAATAAACTTTGAAAAAAGAAATATAGATGAAAATATTTATGAAACATGAAGAATGTTATGAAGCATGAGAAACATAATGTAGTATCTTCAGTTGTATGCTCTAATGTAAGTGCAAGACAACTTAATTGCTAAAGGACAGGTCTTACGTTACTTACTGAGTAGAGTTCTCTCAGGTGGCATTACCTGCTCAGGGCAACTAAAATATATACAGTACATATTACATATTTTCATATACATAAGTATTGCCTCTACAACCTCTTGATACTAAAAATTTTTTCTAAAAAACCTTGGTTTTCTCAAAAGTATACTGTAGCTCAGCTAAAGCTGAAGTATATATCTTGAATCAGTATGAATTTATGTAAATTATATTATAATTTCCCCAGGCTAGATTTGTATCATCTTCATAGATTGACAACACTAAATTACATTGATTAATAATTTTGAAGCTAGTTACAGCTCTTTAAAAATCATCCTTTCTTTATAGAAAATATCTCATATTTCCTCTATTTTAATGATGTTTTCTAACAATTAGTAACCTGGAAGATCGAGTGGGAGAAATACCTCAAGAGAGAAAGGCGTGTGTGTTTGTATGTATGTGTGTGTGTGTGTGTGTGTGTGTGTGTGTGTGTATACTGGCATACATATAAATGTATCAATATGTAACATATATATAGAAAAAGAGAGTGAGAAAAGTGGGGAGGGGGACAATATAAATCTATAAAGTAGAAATCACAAGGAATCCAGGTGATCTAACATGAGAACAATAGAAGCTCCAAAAGGATAAAAAGAAACAGATGGAGAAATAAATTAACAACAGAAATAATGTCCACTCAGATGAAAATGAGTTGGTAGATAGGAAGGGTGCACTGATTCCCAGGCAAAATTGATGAAAAAACATAAGGAAAAAAACTTTCAAACATCGAGACAGAAAAAAATTACCTATTAAGAAAGAATTCAATGGGCAATCCACCTTGTATCTACAATACTTCTAGATAGCAAACTGACAAATAACAGAGAATGACTTCAATCCAAGAAAACAAGCTACATAAGAGTAGGGGCAGAGGGTCGCCTGGGTGGCTCAGTTGGTTAAGCATCCAACTTTGGCTCAGGTCATGATCTCACGGTTCATGAGTTTGAGCCCCATGTCAGACTCTGTGCTGACAGCTCGGAGCCTGGAGCCTGCTTCAGATTCTGTGTCTCCCTCTCTCTCTGCCCCTCCCCCACTCATGCTCTGTTTCTGTCTTTCAAAAATAAATAAACATTAAAAAAATTTTTTTAAAAAGGGGGGGCCGAAAGGGTGTTGGCAAGAAAGCAAAGAAGTGATTCAAAGATTAAATCTCAGGTATGGGAGAGAAGAGAGAAGGGAAAGTGAAAATGTTCTAAAGATACCATCTAAACTGGGTCAAGGTAAAGCAAGGAGGTAGAGATATAATAAAATATCTCTGTGAAATAAATAATATGTTTTTCATGTCTTCTTTTCAAATTAATAGTCTAACCAAGACTGGAAACCCAGAAACTATAAGAAAAGATAAAACATATTTCAGTATTCAAAACTTTTACAAGGTTAAATATACCATAAAGTCCACAAACATACTCAATTTGGTTAAAAAAAACAAAAACAAAAAAGCCAAAATACAGCAGCTGGAGTGGTTAGTATCCAAAATATACAAAGGGCTCTTAGCAATTGGCAACACCACCACCAACAGAAGGATAAATAACCAAACAGAAAACTGGGTAAAGGTCCTGAAAAGAGCAATTCAACTTCTTAATATATACAAACTCAACAGTAATAAAAGAAATATCACCTCATACCAACAGTCTGGCAAAATTAAAAGGCTAGTAATACCTATTTCTGGTTGAATTCAGAGAAAAGAGTTCTTTCATAAACTGTGAATGAAAACTAGAAGGACAATAGCTTTTTTGGAAGGCAATCTGGTTACCTGTACTAAAATCAGAATTACTGCGTTGACCCACTAATCCCACTCATGGTAATCCATCCCAAAGAAATAAAAGCACTGACATACATATGTATGTAAAGAGATGTTCACTACACCGTTATGTTTAGGGGCTCAAAAATGGAAACAAAGTAAATGCCCTTCAACAGAGAAATGGTTGAATAAACTGCGGTATATTCACAACTTGGAATATTATGTAGCCATTGGAAAAAAAGAATGAATTAGGGGTGCCTGGGTGATTTAGTTGGTTAAGCGTCCAACTCTTAATCTCAGCTCAGGTCTTGATTAATCTCAGCTCAGGTTGTGAGTTCAGGCCCTACGCTGGGCTCCACACTGGGCACGGAGCCTACTTAATTAAAAAGAAAAGAAAAGAAAAGTTAAAAAAAGAATAAATTAGAGCTATACCAGGTAACCAGGAGAGATTTTCATTAGATATTCTTTAGTGAGGAAAGCAAGATGGGGACAAGTACATATAAGATACAATTTGTATAAAACAATGAAAACTAAAATCTTTGTGTGTTTATATATATATATTTGTGCCATAACCTAGAGACAAATATGAAAAGATATACACCTGGTTCTTAACATGGTTATCTAGTTGGGGTGGGGGGAGGTGGAGCCAAGAGAGGGTGTGGTCAGGGAGGGGATAAGAAGCCAAGGAACTCCACGATGAGACACCACATCACACCTGTCAGAACAGCTAAACTTGACAACTCAGGAAGCAACAGATGTTGCCAAGGATGCAGAGAAAGGGACACTTTTGCACCGCTGGTGGGAATGCAAACTGGTGCAGACACTCTGGAAAACAGTATGAAGGTTCCTCAAAAAATTAAAAATAGAACTACCCTACAACCCAGCAATTACACTACTAGGTATTTATCCAAAGGACAAAAATGCTGATTCGAAGGGGTACATGCACCCAGATGTTTGTAGCGGCACTATCAACAACAGCCAAATTATGGAAAGAGCCCAAATGTCCACTGACCGATGAATGGATAAAAAAGATGTGGTATATATACACAATGGAATATTACTCTGTGCTCAAAAAGAATGAAATCTTGCCATCTGCAACAATGTGCATGGAACTAGAGTGTATTATGCTAAGTGAAATAAGTCAGTCAGAGAAAGACAAATATATGATTGCACTCATATGTAGAATTTAAGAAACAAAGAAGATGAACATAGGGGAAAAATAAAAACAGAGGGGGAGGCAAACCATAAGAGACTCTTAAATACAGAGAATAAACTGAAGGTTGCTGGAGGGGTGTTGGGGGTGGTGGGCTAAATGAGTGACGGGCATTAAAGAGGACACTTACTGGGATGAGCACTATATGTAGGGGATGAATCACTAAATTCTATTCCTGAAACCAATACTACACTATATGTTAACTAGAATTTAAATTAATTAATTAAAAAAGAAAGAAAAAAACCAAGGAATAAAGAGGTATGGGAGGAAAGGATAGCACTTCAAAAAACCAGTATGTATGTTGATGACATTTATGCATTCAGGTGAAATTCTGTATGTGTGCATTCAATAATTTTCAAATTGCTTTAAAAAATACAGGGATATAATTTTATCAGAGAAGGGTTATAAGGTAAGTTGCAAGCTGAACATAAAAACTCTTGACCATATACTTTGTGAACTCATATACAAAAATACCTACTCAGAGGTTTTTTTGTTTTGTTTTTTTAATGTTTGTTTTTGAGACAGAGAGAGACAGAGCATGAGAAAGGGCAGAGAGAGAGGGGGACAGAGAATCCAAAGCAGGCTCCAGGCTGAGCTGTCAGCACAGAGCCTGACACAGGGCGTGAACCCATGAAATCTCAAGATCATGACCTAAGCCAAAGTCGGATGCTCAACTGACTGAGCCACCCAGGCACCCCACCTACCTAGAGTTTCTAATGGAACAATCAGTTAACTGTTCTTATAGCTTCATGATTGAACAAAAACACCAGATTCTTTTAAATTTAAAATCAGGGATGGTAGGCAAGAAATAAGTTTAGGCTTAAAAGGGTAAAGAAAAATGACCTTGAGGCTTTCCCAAACTAAAATACTAAGTCTAAAATATTTAACTGATGAAGAATGTTCCTTTTATTTGTTACTTTCAGGATAGTTATTACATAATAGCAATCCTACTTCAACATTTTTACTAACCCTCCTTTCTTACAAAAACTTTTTCATGAAATTTTAGATGACAAATTATAGTTCATGACAAATGAAATCTAGATGATTGCATTTTATGCCGATAGATTCTTTTTGTTTTTTTAATAAAAGAAAATGATATTTTTGAAAGAAATGGCAAAATAGGAGCACCTGGGTGGCTCACTCAATTGAGCATCTGACTCTTGATTTCAACTCAGGTCATGATCTCACGGTTTATGGGATCAAGCCCTGCATTGAGCTCTGCACCATCAGCAGCCTGCTTAGGATTCTTTCTCTCTCTTTCTCTCTGCCCCTCCCCTACACATGTGTGCTCTCTCTCTCTCAAATTAAATAAATATGAAAAAAAAAAAAAGGAATGGCAAAATAAATGCAGAAAATAGGACGCGAGCATCTGGAAAAGAAAAACAGAGAAATATCTATGGCTTGCCGAATGCTTGAAGTTTTCCGGAGTGGAAATCATTCAAAAGGCTGAGAAGCCCCCTCTCCATCTCCTGAACGTCTGAGACATCGGTGAGGAAGGAGTGCTGAATGGGAGCCGGCTGTGTGCCTTTTCCTTCTCCTCCCTGAGGTCTGGTCTTTTCTTTCATCACTCTGCAGATAGCACAATGAAAACATTAATTGCATATAGTTATCTTTATTATTTTTTTATAATGTTTTTGTAAATGTTTATTTATTTTTGAGAGAGAGAAAGAGAGCACAAGCAGGAGAGGGGCAGAGAGAGGGGGACAGAGGATCCGAAGCGGGCTCTGCGCTGACAGCAGAGAGCCCGATGCGGGGTTCAAACTTGCAAACCACAAGATCGTGACCTTAGCTGAAGTTGGATGCTTAACTGACTGAGCCACCCAGGCGCCCCAGGATTTTAGTGTTTTAAATTTCTTCTTTGAACTTTTCCTGTGTTTGAATTTTTACAACAAATACAAATCATTTCTATGACAATAATAAAACCACCCTTTTAAAAAAGATAAAACCTACCATGGGGCACCTGGGTGGCTCAGCTCGTTAAGTGTCCGACTCTTGGTTTTGGTTCAAGTCATGATCTCACAGTTCATGGGTTCAAGCCCCACATCGGGCTCTGCACTGATGGTGTGGAGCCTGCTTGGGATACTCTTACCCTCCCTCTCTCTCTGCCCCTCCTCTGCTTGCCATCTCTCTCTCTCTCTCTCAAATAAACTTAAAAAAAATTATATATATATAAACACACTCAGCTTAATTTAAAAAAAAACATTTTTTTCCCTCTTCTGGCTAGTGCATCAACTTTGTCTATGACTTTTCTCACTCTGTCCTGTTTAATATGAGACAAAGTAAGGGTCTTCAAACCAGTCATTCATTTTGCATGTGCTAATCCCTACACACTATACCCTTCACAAATTTTTTCTAAATCACATATAATAGATGCTGCCACTGTTTTAAAAGTTAAGCCAAGAGAAAAGCAAGTGTTATAAGAATTGCTAGATTTAGTATTTACGTTGGCAGCGTTTTGCTGTGATAATCTGAAAGAAATGAATTCACCTCTTTAACTTTGGTCGCTGGGAAGTTGACTGTGATGCAGGATTTGAAAACCCTGTGCTTTTACTAACTGGAATGGCATTTTTTTTGGCATTAACAGCCTGAGTAGAGTGGGCACTAAAAGACTTAGGACTCCGCCTCTTCAGTTTCCGCTCCTCCATTGTTTTAAGTTCCTTATTGCACCACGGCCAGCTTCTTATGACCTAAGGAAATACAGCAAAATTATACACATATGCTAGAATATGTGAAAGTGAAAGGGTTTTAAAGACCCACTTCATAGGCTTAAAGAGGATTGAGAATTTCAGAGCTCATTAGATAAAGTTAAAATAAGGATCCCTTAAGTTTAACCTACGGTGCTATGTACACAGAAGCTCTAAGCAAAATGGACTGGTAGACAAAAATGTTTTCCATCATTTTCTGTATTCACGCATCCACAAATATTTACTCTTTTCCACTTGCCAGGCACTATTCTGGATATTGGGAAGATGGTAGTGAACAGAAAGTCCCTGTTCTCAAAGAGCCTACATGATAGAAAGGAAAGAATGCGTCAAAAAAGAAACAAAATAGCCAGAATGAGTCAAAAAAGAAACAAAATAGCCATGTGATAGATATTCCCAGCCTGACTCAAGCTCTAGGTGGTCTTTAGATCTCCCTGCTAAAATTTATTCTTGGAAGAATAACAGATGTATAATTGACAGGGGGTATTTGCATTTTAACTAATGACTAGAAACCTTATGGCAACTACCAAGCACAAACTCAGTGTCTGCCTAGGGATAATACTGATTCTGGTTCTTCGATCGAGTGAAGTTCTATAAAATTAAACTCGTTCCATGACTATTCTGAATATACTTTCTTTACCTATTTCCAATGATACATGAAACTGTATATGTTTGTTTAGTTTTGCTAGTATCAGAAAAGTTACACTATGAAGTTCTAGCTGGCCCTTCCATACAGAATATGTGTAAGGTCTTCTGTTTATCCAATAATTTCCCCTTATTTCATGTATTAACTTCCTTTATCTTCCTTACAGCCATCCATCGAAAAATATCCTTGTACATTTTTACTTATGCATACTATTAAATTGTTCTTAATTATATTGCTTCCTGTATCATGAGATGAGAAATTTACATGGCTATTTACCTCATCAGATTGCAAAGTGCTTTAGCACTATTAAGCTTTTTGTGTACATGGTGTTGAATGTAATCATGCTACGGCCACTCAAAAAGATTCAAATCCACTGATGTCACTCTTAAAATAATTACTTAAAAATTTTAACTAACACAGATTTTTTTTTTTTGCCATTGTCTAAACTCAGTACCACCAGCACTGGAATTTAAACCATTTCAGCTAAGTTGGCTCAGGCTGACCCTAGACAATCACAACTGGATTTATATATAATACCCCCAAAGAAGCAAAAGTTTTAAAAGAAAGGTTCTAATGATTAGTCTCTAATCCCAGATACCAAGTGTAAATCCATTCAAATCTTGGCTAACAATTTTTCCTTTAAGAAGAATTTTCAGTAACACAACAGACACTTTGGGGTTGTTTCGACATGAACACAAATTAAATGGAATTTTAATAAACAGCTGAAGAGAGACAATGGGGCATCAGTTCTCCAAAGAGAAGCATCTGTTTAAACGTGTGATACACATAAACACATGGACCTTCGAATTTAATGATGCTAATAGACCATTTGGTGATACAGGAAAAAGAAAAGGTAGTAAAGCAATTCAAATAAACCAACAGTGGTCTAAACTATGATATTCTGAGGGGCCAGGACTGGAAATGTATCCGCTTTTGGAAGGCAAGCCGCCGGTACAACAAGCAGCAAGGAACCATTTAGAGAAGGCCTTCGCAGTTACTCACTCACTGAGTGCCAGGAACCCACGGCCTTCAAGAAGGACTAGGAGTCCCTCTTGACTTCACCTTATTCTCCTTCCCCAATCAGCCAACGCGGTGACCCTTCACCTCCCAGAATTGAGCGGTGGATAGAGTGGGTGGTGGAAGGGGCCTAAAGGGGACAATGCGGAAGCGCCTTTGCTTCCACTTCATACCTGAGGAAGGAGAGGATCGGAATCCTCTTCCTCAACCTGCAAAGACTCCGGAGTCTCCGAAGCCACCGCCGCAGCTGCAGCCTCCGACGCTACTGCTGCAGCTAGAGCCGGGGTCACATCCCGGACCCAGCGCCACCACAGTTCCCTTTGTTTACGGAAGTGACGCAAGGAGGCGGAGCCTCCGTGCCCGCCCTTTCCCGCCCCCCACCCACATCCCGGCGGGAGCCTCGCCTCTTCCTGCCACTCCAGTACGGCTCCCGTCTCCGCCCTTGCCACCGCATTGCTTCTACTGTCCTGCCCTCAGCTGTATTTTAGGCGGACGTGGAAACAAAGACCCATAGTTGGACTTTTATTTTGGGTTCAGTGGCCCACAAGCACTGAGGAATAGGCGTGGCAGTGGAAGCAGGCACGGGAGACGCAGAGCGCTTGGCGGAAGCTGTCCCGCCCCCTGGCTGAACGTTGGCTCCCACGCACTACAATTCCCAGCATGCCATTCGAGCAAGGGCGGAGGCGGAACCGGAGTGTCGTCATAGCAACTGAATCAACTACCTCGCGGAGACTTCTCAAGGTAAAGTTTGCTAGGCGCCATGAAAAACCGTGATTCTGTTTAATGACACCATGCCAAGCCCCTAAATGAGATTCTATTTCTGTTAATAACTACTCTGTTCAGACCCTATACAGGCGTTATGTCCCATCCTCACTACAATTCCATGAGGTAGGTGTTACCCTCTTTTTAGATGTGAGGACTTTGACACTCAAAAAAGCTAATGCACATTTCTCGTCACCAAAACAGTTCTATCACTATATACATTTCTTCTGGAGAAGGAATTGTGTATTGTGAGGGACAGAACTATCCTAAATGAGGGGCGAGATCCAGGTTTCATTCCCTCGTCTGGATGTCCTTTCCCGTGTAGGGAGGTTTTAGGTTTGTAGATCTTTAGATTGAAGAGGCAATGGATAGTACCACATATTTCTCCTGAATTTGTTAATGAGGAAGCCGTATCTAGAGATTGATATAAATACATCAATGCTAGAGAGGCAGAACAAAGTAGAACCCACGTATTCTAATTTGGGATGCCCTTCCACCATCACGCCCTCCATTTTAAAAAAATCGGAAAACTTTTTTAAACGTTTATTCATTTTTGAGAGACAGAGTGTGAGCAGGGGAAGGGCAGACAGACAGGGAGGCACAGAATCCAAAGCAGGCTCCAGGCTCTGAGCTGTCAACACAGAGCCCTACACGGGGCTCAAACTCACAAACCGTGAGATCATGACCTGAGCCGAAGTCGGACGCTTAACCAACTGAGCCGCTCAGTCGGTTGTCAGCAAGGTATCAGCAAGATATCCCAGTCTCAGCGAGATCTCAGCAAGAGGACAGTTCATCTTTCCAATATCTCTTCTCCAAGTTCTTGTTGTAGGAACACTCCAGCTTTAGAAGAAGGCTTGTGTTATAGGCTTAACCAGAAAGCAAAGTATACCATTGATCAGAAAATTAGCTATACTGCGTAACAACCCTTCCATCAGTTTTCTCTCCTTTGTTGAATTTTAATTTAATTTGAGCAGTATCGCCAAAGAGTACCACAAGACTAGTAAATACTTGTAGGGATAGCTTACAGTATAGCAGAGAGAGTAGAAGGGAGGGAGGGGGGCAGCAAGGCAGGGAGGAAGGGAAGGGTAGAAGAGGCCCTCATAACACATAATAACCAACAAGGAAATTTTAAGATGTTATTTAAAACCTAAACTGCTACCACTCTGCTTGTTAAGAGCTGTCAAGGGTAAATAAATCTTGTATAGGGAGAAAAGGGGAGATGATACTCTAAGAAGATGGCCCATTGTGTGTCATAATGGAGCAAGGAGTGTTGGAGCAGGAGGCCGAGTTTGGGGATAGGAAATTGAGAAAGTTGAATTGTTCTATATAATAATCTGGGAAGAATTGCTCACTGTAGTAGAAGGTAGGGGTTGGGAAATGTTGAAGAAAAGGACAGCAAAGAAGGGAGCAGAGTGAGAGGGGAGAGTCAAAGTGGAGGGAGGGAGAAGACTTTAAAAAGATCAATGAGGTCTGTTGTTCAGTTTGTAATTGGTAGTGTTCTAATTACACACACACACACACACACACACACACACACACACACACACACACGTCTTCCATGCTTCCAAACTTCAAGGTAAATTCTCTACAGGATCAAAGCTTTGTATGAACATTATGAAAATCAAGGAAAAGCATTGTGTTCTGCATCTTTGGGAGATTTACGGAGAATAAGAACAACGTGTGTGTAACAGTAACGTGATGTATAAACAGCACTATGTCAGGTGAAGGAGGAGCTTAGAGTCCAAGGTGAGTAGAAAATTATAAACCACAGTCTATGCTGTAATCTTGGAAAGAGAGGAGTTTCCCACTACATTAAGACAAGTATTATATTCCATTTTGCGTCACTCTTAAAGGGTAAGGGTACGTGGGATGACAGCTGGTAACATGCTGGTCTCTCCTACCAATCTGTTAGCTACTCATGAAAGGATCTAGGTTTTATACATCTTTATATCCCCAAAGTTTAGCGTAGTGTCTGGCATACAATAGAAAATTAGAAAATTTACATTCAATTAATGAATAAATGAGGAAAAAATTAGACCCATATGATGGCAAGTGGCAGATGGCATTATTAAATCAAGTGTCACCATAACTCAGATTACTTATTCAAGAATTAGAATTTAGATTGATTCTTAGTCATACCTGCCTCTGGTCTCCAGGTGGCAGTATTATCTCATATTAAATTGTTCTGAGACCAGATTCCATTTAACTTTGAGAACATAAATGAGTTAGAATAAAAACTGAATTCTTAGTTTATTTCTGTAATTGTACAGATCCAAAGAAGTAATAAAATATAATTACATGAGATTATGGACTTTTCCTCTAATTTCAACACAAACGAAAGCAGTTTCCAAAACCTTGATAATAAATACAAATTAGGGTAGTTGTTTACACAACACATGCATTCCTTCAAATTATGAAGTTGCATGCGTGCATGGTGCATGTGTGGGGGGGAGGGAGAGGGAGAGAGGAAGTGAGTGAGCAGTAATATGTCTAGAAATAAATAATCTCCCAACGAATAGCATGACCAGATTAAATGCAGGATGGTTGGATGAATGTGAATTTCAGAAACACAAAGAATGCTTTATTTGTATAAGTCCCATGCAATATTTGGGACACATTTATACTAAAAAAATACTCCTCATGTGTCTGAAAATCACCTTCAGCTGGTCATCGAGTTTTCCTTTGCTAAATCTGGCGGTTTTACCAACACGTATTCTGTTGCTGTTAATTCCAAAAGAAGCAGAACTTGACCAGGTCTGCAGACGCGGTGGTGTTGCCTTATTTGGAGAGATGGAAAGGAAGTAGCTCGTAGGATCAGCTTCCTCACTGCAAGTGCAACCTTCTGCTCATTGTAGTTACCGGTACAGATCAGAGTTCTGTAGCTGAGTAAATTATTTTCAGGAAACGGACCCCTCGGGCAAGTGCAGATGGTATAGTCTAAAGAGGTTATTTTATACAAACGCAGTGTTTTCTAGCATTCACGAGCCTGGTTGTAAAAGTCAAGCACTGTGAATAAGCAAGGAGATCCTGGATCCCTTCACCTCTGACTTACACTTTTCACAGGTGCCTGAGGTATAGCAGCTATGGCAATAGAAATAGAAGGATTGTTTATGAAATAAATCCTATTTCAAAAGAGTAAAGAAGTTTCTGATAAATTAAATCATATGTCATAGTTTCATGTACATTTGCATTTTTAACGTAAGCATTCCCTATCTTCTAGATAAAATGCACTTCAAAATTTCATTTGCCAATATTTCTGAATTCAAAATAAGCTTTCCACAGGAACATTATTGTGAATATAAGATCTTCAGATTACCTAATAAGAGTATATTTAATCGATTATATGACTGAAACACCATTTGTAGTTAAATTTTCTTTCAAGTTTAAAGTAATAAAAGTGTTTTTTTTAATTTTTATTTTAGAGACAGAGAGTACACATGTGCACGTGAAAGTGGGGGAAAGGCAGGGGGAGAGAGAGAGAGAATGTTAAGAAGGCTGCCTGCTCATCGTGGAGCCCAACTTGGGCTTGATCCCACAACCCCAGAGTCATGACCTGAGCTGAAATCAGGAGTCAGACGCTCAATTGACTGAGCCACCTAGGTGCTCCTGTAATAAAAGTATTTTAAAGATCAAGAAATATGGGGCACCTGGGTGGCTCAGTGGGTTAAGCGTCCGACTTCGGCTCAGGTCACCATCTCATGGTTCGTGAGTTCGAGCCCCGCGTCAGGCTCTGGGCTGATGGCTCAGAGCCTGGAGGCTGCTTCGGATTCTGTGTCTCCCTCTCTCTCTGCCCCTCCCCTGCTCATGCTCTGTCTCTCTCTGTCTCAAAAATAAATAAAACATTAAAAAAATTTAAAGGTTAGGGCGCCTGGGTGGCGCAGTCAGTTAAGCATCCGACTTTAGCCAGGTCACGATCTCGCGGTCCGTGAGTTCGAGCCCCGCGTCAGGCTCTGGGCTGATGGCTCAGAGCCTGGAGTCTGTTTCCGATTCTGTGTCTCCCTCTCTCTCTGCCCCTCCCCTGTTCATGCTCTGTCTCTCTCTGTCCCAAAAATAAATAAACGTTGAAAAAAAAAAAATTTAAAGGTCAAGAAATAGAGGGGCACCTGGATGACTCTCAGTCAGTTAGGCAACTGACTTCGTTTCAGGTCATGGTTTCACGCTCTGTGAGTTCTAGCCCTGCATCAGGCTCTTGCTGACAGCTTGTAGCCTGGAGCCAGCTTTGGATTCTGTGTCTCCCTCTCTCTCTGGCCCCCCCCCCCCCCAGCTCACACCCTGTCTGTCTCTCCAAAGTAAAATAAAAACATAGAAAAAAGATCAAGAAATAGAAATGTTTTAAAAATATTAAATATTCATATTTGGTGAAATTCAATGACCTATGTTTATTTTTCTCTGACTCTGGGCCAGAAGCCATTCTAAGGGCTTTAGATGAATTAACTCATTGAATCCTGCTAATAACTCTAGGACACAGATTCCATTATGATCCCACTTCACAGATGAGGAAACTGGGGCAAAGGATAAATAGCTGCCCAAAGTCACACAGCTACGAAATAGTAGAACTGGGATCTGAGCTGGCCTATGGCTTCCTTAGGCACTGTTCACCATAGTTATTTTAATTTAAAATAAAGAGGCAAGGGGGGCACCTGGATGGCTCAGTTGGTTAAGCACCCGACTCTTGATTTTGGCTCAGGTCACGTTCTCACGGTGGGATCGAGCCCTGCGTTGGGCTCCACGTACAGCATGGAGCCTGCTTAGGGTTCCCTCCCTCCCTCTCCCTCTGTCCCTCCCTGGTGCGCTTGCTTTCTCTGTCTCTCTGTCTCTCTCTCTCTCTTTCAGAAAAAAAAAAAAAAGAGAAACGGGTAAGGGACTTATCTGAGAAGACTTTGAAGGTGGCCTCTATCTGATCACTGTCTGGGATAGTGCACCGTATTATTCATTAAGCCTAGAACAGTTCAAAGTGAATGACTGTTTTTTTTGCTCAATTCGGTATAGCATGAATGCCACTTTGGTGCCTACCAACCACAATGGTGTTATTTTGGAGTTTGCAGATGGACCAAAGGATGTCAGAAAGGGAGAAGGATTTACCTGAGGTACCTGGCTAAGAGTTCACGAGAGGTGGAAGTGGATGAAAGAGGACAGTGTGCCCTGTTTGTACAGCGTGAGAAAGAGGTTTCTGGGGTGGACATCAGTTATTGAGCCGAGACCCGGAAAGAAGAATAAAAAGGCGGGGGATTTAACTTTGCGTGATCATTTCCATGAATGGGAAAGGAGAAGTAGGAGGGATACTGCCCTGTGTCCCTGTTAATTCTCTCTCACTCGCTTAGAGCTATGATTGCCTGAGGGGGGTCTTGTGCCCCAGTTGTGGCAGTGGTGGACTCATCGGAGGCCCCTGCTCGGGGCTGTGACCTCTCACGGGCTGAAGGCACAGACTTCAGTTCCCAACTGGCCGCCGTTAGATGCTTGGCCTACCCTTTACCCTCCCTCAAAGAGAGTAGAGGCGGTGAGGGTAGAGGGCAAGAGCCCTGAATGTCCTGTGTAGGGAACAAGCTTCTGAACCTCCTACTAACTAGTTCCCCAACCTTGGGCGCCTGTTGCCTAAGCTGTGAAAACGGAGATGATACCACCTGTTTGGCGATGAAGGCACCTGGCAAATACTTGTTCTGGTCCCGCTTAATCTTCACGACGGTATGAGGGATCGTTCCCATTTTCCAGATGTGGAGAAGGAGGCTCAGAGAGGCTAACACGGTGGTGGAGATGGGCACCCCTGTCGTGTAGCCCAGCCTCTGCTGTGCTGCCTGCGGTAGAAAAGGAGATCACTGAAATAAAATGGTTTACCATGTTCTTCCAGAGTGAAAACTTTAAAAAGCATTTTGCTACTTCAGTCTTCATAAATAGGAAAAAAAAATAAGTAAAACCTAGAAATGTATTTTCCTAAGGTAACAACAATGGAAAGGTTTCTGAAAGGAAAATATATTTATATACATTCAAAAAAGCTTTGCAATGATTAAGCATACACTCGTAGCAATTCGTTCATTATAGTGACTTTTATTTTAAAATTATTATTTGGGGGGGGGGGTGCCTGGGTGGCTCAGTCAGTTAAGCATCATGATCTCATGGTTTGTGAGTTGGAGTCCTGCATTGGGCTTTCTGCTGTGAGCACAGAGCCCGCTTCAAATGCTTCATCTCCCTCTCTCTCTGCTCCTCTCCTGCTCTCTCTCTCCTAAAAATAAACAATAAATTTTCCTAATAAAAGAAAAATTTTTAAACATTTTTTAAAAATAAATTTTTTTTTTTTTTGAGAGAGAGAGAGAGAGAGAGAGAGAGTGCGCACAGTCAGGGGAGGGACAGAGGGAGAGAGAGAATCTCAGGCAGGCTCCTGGCTCAGCACAGAGCCAGTGCAGGGCTCAGCCTCACGACTATGAGATCGTGAGATCATGACCTAAGCCAAATTAAGAGTCAGACGCTTAACTGACGCAGCCACCCAGAAGCCCCTAAAAATTGTTCTTCACATCACAGGTAATGCGAGCTTGTTCATTCACTATGTATTTACTGAGTATCTACTCTATGCCACATATTTCCTAGATTAAGTGAACAATACAGACAAAAATCCCTGTTCTCCTGGAGCTTGTATTCAAATGTGAGCATGGCCAATTATGCCTGAATTAACCAAATCATTGCTATAGAATAGAAAGGGATGACTCTTAGGGGAAAAGATTGAGCTGGGAAAGGGCTGTGGGTGGGTTATAGACACGGCATTCTAGGAAGGCAGGTGAGGTTTGAGCAGAGACTTGAAAGAAGGGAGGAACTGAATCTTCGGACTATCTGGGGTCAGAGCAGAGGAAGGACCAGCACCACTGTGTGAGATGGGAGCATGCCTGGTGTGTGAAGCAGAGAGAGAGGGAGACACAGAATCCGAAGCAGGCTCCAGGCTCTGAGCTGTCAGCACAGAGCCGGACACAGGGCCCAAACTCACGAACTGGGAGATCATGACCTGAGCCGAGGTCGGATGCTTAACTGAGCCACCCAGGCACCCCTCAAGTTTTTGGCCAGAGCACCTGCAAGAAAGATTTTCCATAGACTAAGATGGGAGGACTTATGTGTTGAAGTGTGTGGGAGGGGGCAGGAAGTTCGCTTTTGGTTGTGTCATATTTGACTTGCTGATATTTAGACGTCCAACTGAAGACATTGAATAAACAGTCGTATATTTAAGCCTGGAGCCCAGATCTTGCCTGCAAATATAAATTTGTCCAGCATATTATTGGTATTTAAAACCATGAGATTCCATGAGATCACCAAAATAACACAGACAGAGAAAACTACCAAGGACTGAACCCTGGGAAAAAGGAGGAACCAGCAAAATTAGAGAACGGAAACAGGAAAGACTAGCAAAGGAGAAAAGAAAAAATATCCACAGAATGTGTAGCATTCACATTTTGGTATATATCATTCCAGACCTTTTTTCTTTGTATGTAAATGGCTTCCTTTTTTAATAGTTAATTTTAGAAATGTATTCTAAAATACCACTTTATGGATCTCTTTAAAAACAAATTTTGAGTAGATTAACGTACGTAAGTGGTCTTAAAGTAAAAGGTAGTAAAAATTTTATAATGAAGAGAACTCTCCTCTTCAGAGACAACCTGTGTTATTGGTTTCATCTCATGCATGTATAAGTGTATGGATATATGTGTACATGTGTGTATACAGACATGTTTCCCCTACACCCTTAGCATAGGCACATTGTTCACTTAACAATGTATCTTACATTTTGTTTCATATTGACATATACAGAACTACCACTTTCTGAATATAGTAGGATATCAAGAGTTAATTGATGATAGCTGCCCAATTTTCTAGTCAAAACTGTTAAGTAACATGCCTTGAGGCCCCTCCCCCCCAGCCCCCACCTCCCCAGCCTTCCAGCCTCCTGCAGAGCTTCTGGTCTGTCTCCCCTTTGATCCTGTTTATTCCTTCTGATCATTCAGTTCTTAGAATTTCTTCTTTTTCTCCTTATGGAAACATATCTACCGGGAATTGTAACCTCTCGTGGTTTTTGTTTTCTTTTTGTCCTGAGAAAATGTAACTGTTCATTCACTAAATATTTGGTAGGGATTTTCTACCTCTTTGGAATATAATGTGGGGTAGGGGACAGAGTCTACAGGAGCTCATCCTACCTGGAGATGCAGGCTTGTAAACAGGTGATTACAGTGCCCCATTTTACATGTGGTGACAGAGAAATGGACAGAATGCTTTGGCAGCCTGGGGAGTAGAAGGGGGAAAGGGGAGACTGACCTGGCATAAAAAATGAAGCTACTGTGAGACAGCCAGCCAGAGGTACAACTTACGTGACCAAACAAAATGGTTTCTGTCCTCGGGCCTAAGGGTAAGGACCAAATTCCTTGGCCTGGGTGAGCATGCCCTTCACAACCTGGCTCCGGGTATCTGCCTCCTCTCCCTCGGCCCCTTACTTGCCACTGTGTCCTTGGAGGCACTTCCATAACTCTGCTCTCGTGAGTTCTTCTTCCTTGGCCGAGAATGACCCTGTATCCTCCACCTCTCAACAGCTCAGTAATCATAGTGATAGCATCATCACGAGAATGAGAATAAACGATATAAATGATTTTAGTAGCTAATATCTGTGATGCACAAATTTGCATGCAGTCTCATTTAATTCTTTTAACAACTGTATGAGACAGGTACTGTGTTAACCCTATTTTTAAAATGGGGATACTAAAGGTAAAAAATACCAAATAGATTACCAAGGTCACACAACTGAGGTCAGTAGTGGAGCTGGGATTTTTACCTAGCTCTAGCTGATCCTAGAACCCACCTCGTAACTGCTGTTGCCACTTAGAATTTAACTCTTTAGTAGAATAATCCTGCAGCTTGAATATCTTCAACAAAAATGTCCTCATAAGTACTCCAGTAGCATTATCTCTTCACTTATAATAAAATGCCCATTATGATTACTTTTTACTTTTATTATTCTAAATAGCAAAAGTTATGTCTATTATAGAAAAGCTAAAAATGCAAATAAGCAAGGTAAGAAGAATAAGGAAATTACTACCCACAGTCTCACATTCTGAGGAAAAAAACAATTTTAATCAACAGAGTACATCCTGTGTGGTTCTGTGTACACGGATTCTGGAAAAGGCAAAGGAAAAGAAAACAGCGGTTGCCAGAGAGGGGCTGGGCCTTAGGGCTGATGGAAGTGTCCTGTATCTTGATTAGGGTGGTAGTTACGTGACTATGTATATTAAAATTAACAGAACTGCACAATAAAAAAAAGTACATTTTACTGTATATAAATTATACCTCAATAAATCTAACTGAAAAAATTAACCCCTTGAAGTATATCCTTCCCCACTTTTTCTTATATATAGTAAATATATATCTTTAAAACTGATTGTTATTGATTAAAATAAAATCTATCAGAACATTTTAGATTTACAGAAAAATTGCAAAGCTAGTACAGAGTTCTCAAATCACTGCTCATTATTCACATGTTACATTAATATGATACATTTGTTGTAATTGTTGAGCCAATATTGATACATTTGTTTTAACTAAAGTTCACAGATTTCAGATAGCCTTAGTTTTTACCTAGTGTCCTTTTTTGTTTCAGGATCCCATCCAGGATATCATATTACATTTTTCTTTTGTGTCACCTTAGACTCCTCTTGGTTCTGACAGTTTCTCAGCCTTCTTTGCTCTGATGACCTTGACAGTTCTGAAGTACTAGTCAGAGATACTATAAGATGACTCACTATTCGACGTTGTATGATTTTTTTTCTCATGATTAGACTGGCATGACAGATTTTGCAGAGGAAGACCACAGGGGTTAAGTGTCATTTTCATCACATCTGTATTATGCTTTGTAATCTACCCTTCACTCAAACATATATCAAAAGCATATCTCTTACTCACTGCATAAATCTGTAGCTCTCTTAATGGTGATAATACGCTGTTGTATGGATGTAGCAAAATTCATTTAACCAATCACCTGTTATTGGACACTATAGTATATTCACTATTCATAAATGCTTCAATATATATATTTGTGCAAACATCTTTGCAAACTTGTCTGATGACTTCCTTAGGATAAATCCTGAGCTCGGAGGGGATCTGTTGAGGTGAACTCTATTTACTTGTTATTGCCGTCTAAGGTTTTTCGTACATAGTGCCACAGTGTCCTCCAGAAAACCTGTTACCAATTTGAGCTTCTAGAAATGGTGTTTCTGTGCTGTTTTCTTATGTTCTAGCTAATGCTGGATATTACTCTTTTCAAGCTTTGTCAATTGTAGTCAAAAATATATCATGTTGCATTGTATTTGTCTTCCTATTAGTGTCTTCTCTCAAACAAGGAGGTCCTAAAGGAAAAAGACTATATCCCATTCATTTTTCCAATACCCAGAGTCTAAGTTACTGCCTGAAAGAAACAGGCATTCAGCAGAAGGGAGGGTAAGACAGGAATCCATCCATCCATGACCGCGTGATCTGACAAGAGAATTCATGCTAAGGAGAGCCTTTCACCATCCACTGGGTGCAGTCGTATCCTCTGGGCCAGTGCCCTATATGCATTATGTAACCTAAAGGCGTGGTTCTAATTGTGTGAGCTTCAGACCAGGTAGGAGAGAAATCTACACTAGACCGAAAGAAGGTAAACAGGATCTTGTTGTTTTCCTCAAGTAACAAGCATGATGGCTCGGGATTTATTTTACCTACTCTGAGAAAGAGGATCATCTGGTAGGTCTTTTACGCTGTAATGCCATTAAGATAGCACAGCTTTTTGAAACAATGAAATATATTTGTGAGTCCCAGATCTTTTTCTTTTAGTCATTACC